ACTACCATGTCATGACGTCACAAGGTGGAACAGAGCATTATGAGCTTTAAAGATGTATACCATAGACCGATATAAAAAGGTGGACTAAGCGAGTGTGGCGTCACCCATAGCGTTCAGTGCCACTCAAATGAAGCCCACAATGCTAACGGTTACAGGAGCAAATTTGGAGTCAGTAGTGGGTTAATACGAACATTTTAAGACCAATATGACGAGGCTCGCAGCAACAGTTACAGAGAGAGGGGCCACAATGTTTCAATGTAAGTCAGTGGGAGCCAGAGTCAGAAGGAGCCAAAGAGCCCACGAACTTCCGAACTTCCTATTTGGATTAGCTATGTTGCCCATTTAGATATACAGTCTATGACCTACACAGACTAATAATAAGGGATTACTCGAAGGTGAAATGAAACAAAACACAACTCCAGGTATTTTTTTGATGAGTTAAAAACATTCTAACATCTCTTAAAGCTCACAAGAGTCAATTTTGTGTAATATAGGACCTTTAAAGGACCTTTTTACTACATATTGTTTGCTGTAATAAACAGATACTGTATTGTTTTTTTTTTTTTTAAATGACAATGAATAATATATTACCTATAAATTTTAAAACCCAAGTTTAGCCAATATGAGGCATTGTTGTTTGTAGCAATGGAAACCATGGGGAAATAACAATGCCTGTGACTATCCCAGATGGTTGTTTCTCTGCCATGGTTAAACATCTGATTGAGAGAAAGGATGAGGTGGACGGGGCTCACAGATCGTTCAGGAACATTTTCATGGTTTAAAATTGCTTACAGGCCCTTTAAATTCATTTATAGCCTTGGCTGTTCTCTCTCTTAGGCTTTTATTTAGTCCAGGTTTAGTTAAAGAGTTATTAGAAACACGGAAAACAAAACAAAGCAAACAACTATGCAGCAATTGATACTCTGCAGTGACATCATGCTGGTGTATTTTTATGTATTTCTATTGGTCAATAGTTCAGCAGGTGCCATGGTGACATGATGCACACATGCAAACACTGTCAAAAAGTTTTTAGATTCCATGAAAACTCTATAAAAAATAAAAAAACATGATCAATACAAACATTAATCAACTAAAATGTGAGAGTGACTAGCATTTGAGAAAACACGATGACATCACATCAGCTATTTTGATAGGCAAAAAGCATCAATGTAAGTAAGTCAACATCAACATCATCAACCGTTATCAGTGAGTTTTAAATTTTTCAAAGTAACGTTTTTGATCCTCAACATTCAGTGACTTAGAGTAAGATGATGAAGTCATGTCAAAATAATTAAATGCAAAACCTACTTCAAAATAAGAGGAGTTATCTCATGACAGACATATGCAAAGCAACTGTCAACACAAACAAGCGGCCGACTGACTTTTTGCCTACCAGCCACTGTGCACATGTGGAAAAGCTGGAACTAAACAAAAACAACATTTTCTCATATTAGCTGAAAAGTGGCAAACGTTAACCAGCTTGTGACTGTATTGTAATTTGAGTAGTTTAACAGCAAAAATCAGCTCACCTTTTGTAGTTCCAGCTAAGTCTGTTCTTTCCAGTCAGTGTTAAAACAATGATAAGATTAAAGTCTAACTTAAATAACAGAGCTTCAGACAGAGCAGTGCCTCTAGTTATTGTCACACCCCCAGGGAATGTTGAAGACATCAGCTGCAAAGTATCAGTAATGCATTGCTAAAACTACATGCCCCAGTGATCACATTATAAGCTCAGTATAGTGGCATCTCTATAGTGCAGAGTAAGACCTTAATTAAAAGCAAGTTAAATCCTCCAGCTTGGTTCACTTTTGTCACGCTCACACATTACAAATTACTTTTTATGGTGTGGTGAGGGTTAGGATTTCAAGACTGAAATGGAGCAAGATGGATGGCACAGACAAAGCTGCCTTTATAGTGGTTCAGATAAAGAATTGATTCACTTTTGGAGGGAGAAAATAATTAGGAAAATATGTAAAAGGTTTTCCCCCGACAGACAGATGGTGCTTTGTGGGGTTTTGGCGTATTATTGACGCTTCATGAAAGATGGCTCTCTTTGCTGGGCTCTGCATTTATGGCGCTAATTAAATATGGGAAATCATCAGATGCAAACCATGGACACATAGATCTTTTTATTTCGAGGTGCTGACATGTTCATTTGACGTGCTTTAAGGTCCTAAATCGGTTTCCTAAAATAAAATGATGCCAAGGGAGAAATTGTGAGTTATCCAGAACAGAAAACCCCCATATAAAAGTGCTAGAAATATGAAATCTGCTTCCTTCTCAAGCTTTGTAACAAGTTTTATGAGAACTGGAGAAGTTACAGCCATTACAATAGCAGCTTCATAGTGAGATTTTTACACAGACAGAACCAGATGTGAACTTGTGGAAAAAAGTCCTCCCTTCCTCCACTCAGCAGCCCACATCACTTCCCTCCTCCCTTCTTAATCCTTTTATTTTGACTGATGTCTACAATGATGACTCAGTGTTTGAATAAGCCTGCAATACTGTCCTCAGACAAAAGCATGAAGAAATGTAAGGGTGTTTAATCCCTCTGAATACAATAGAAAAGTTTATTTGCTAGATGTAAGGACTAAGAGGACCACACAAGAGGCAAGAGCTAGGCCGGGCACGATAATACATTTTGAAGCACAATGTATCTCTACAGAGATACACACGATAATATTGAAACTAATTTTGCCACTGACACAATAACAAAAATGTAGGATAATCTCACTTTTAAAGAGAGGGTATCATTCAAAAGGCTTGAGCTGCAACAAATAAATAACAGAATGAACCAATAATAATCTATAGAAGTTAGTTATTCAAACCTCTACAGTTCAAATCTTATTGTATTACCAAAAAATAAATAAAAAATAAAATCTCTCCACTTTTACAAAAAAACATTTACATGTGATTCATTTTTAGCCCCAAAATATATTGTTCCAGCTTTCATATAGTGTTTGATAAGTCGATATAGTAATTATCGTTATAGGCCTACCAAGAGCAAGCTGAGAATTATATGATTTAAAATGCAAGATATTCAACAGAGAGCGATAACTTGGGTTACTCATAAACTAGGTGTTATAGAAGTAAGCAAATGGAGATTTTAAGATGTAAAATACTGGAGTTGGCCTTCACACAAAGATATTCTTGACACACTTAGATGTCAACCCATAAAAGTACAATAGGTAAAATACTCCTGCAAAACTTGTCATGACCAAGCCTAGCCCTAGATCTGGAAAAGGGTCCCCTGGCACTGTACTGTCTCGCCCACTGCTCCTGATGGATGGGTTAAACAGAAATGACAAATTTCTCTATGGGAACTATAAAGTGTACCTCAACTCCTTATTTACCAGTGCGGGTCCAGCAGCTAAAGAAGCTGATACAGCGCTTTTGTTTACTGTTTTTAAAATTATGTTGGCTAAAGTTAACTTTAGGAAACTGCATCCTGCTTGCAACAAAAAGGTGAATTTTGCCAATAAGGTCTGATTTAAGATGTTCGATCTCAGTCTGTACTAATCTAATAGTTAATGCCAAGTGGTTAATTTTGTAAATGTTTTTGTCACTGCTCACAACTCACACATATTGCAATAAATATTATCCATTAACTGTCAGGGTAGCCATAGGAAAATGAGAGCTGCATTTCTTAAACATCAACTATTTGAACTTAGATTGAAATTGCACCTGCTATAGCCTGTGTACCTACATACTGCACACTCTTATCAAAGTCCATAGGCCAAAGACACAAAGGACAACACAGAACACACCGAAATCACAATATGCTGAGATTTTATAAACAAGCAGAGAAGCACTACAAACCACAGTGTAAAAGACTTTGAGGTCCAAGTCTGACACAGTTCAGATATCAAAAAGCACAGATTTGTAAATAGTTCTTTTGTTCCCTGAAGGATTGTGTAATAATTTACACATATTTTGAGCATTTCCCTCTCTCTCAAACCATCAGACATAGTATGAAACCTTTCCTGGTCTCTGACTCCCTCACACTACCTGTCTAAAAGTGTTCGAGCATTCTCAGGACAGTGTCTGAGTCAGATGAATTTATAAATCTGATTACTGTGTTTATATTTTAACCACAAAGTGTCTTTTTTACAAGATTGTTTCACTGTTTTACAAAATTTCCTTTCAAACATTATAATTTGTTTTATGTTCTGTGTGAATAGTTTTGCAAAGCGCATAAAATATTTGCCAGATTTATTAAAAGAAAATGTGCCAAAGTGAAAAAAAAAAAAAGAATGAAAAGGTCAAACACTTCAGGCATGTACAATTTATCAAATTGACAGTACTTAAGTCTTTGTTTAAAAATCCCTAATCCACTTCTGTGTCTCCAACTCAACTAAGAGCAACTAAATTTGCTCTTAAACTACTTTAAAAACACTTATCCAACATGTGAATAGCTTTAAAAAAGAAACTTTATAGAAAACACAAATGAGTTCAGTTGCAAAAAACAGGTATCGAACCTCCATTTTGAAAATCTGTCATAAACTGTTACTATCTTCTACTGGTACTAACAGTGAAAATAATGTTGATTGGATTTTATCAATAAGGCATGTGATAATAATTTAATTGCAATAGTATATCTGGTTTTGAAAATATTGTTATATAAAGACCAAAATACGAGCCTTTTTAAAGGTCCTATATTATGCAAAAAAAAGAACTCAGCCTAAATATGCAGGATTTGTGTGTTAAACATGTGTGAATGAAACAAAACACGATTCCATGTATGTCTGTGATGAGGAAATGACATTATAACAGAAAAAAGTGCAATATCTGTCCTTTAAATGCCACTTACCAGTTTTTATCAATGAACTCTTCAAATCTAAATGCAATATCTATACAACAATTCCAACACAAGTTCAAGCAGGAAATTCTACATTTCTGTCTGCCTGTCTGGCCATATGTTCAGCAGGTTTTGAAGCTACATTCACCCAAAGCATTTCCCTATGTTTCAGATGGGGTTACATTCCTGTGTAATTGCTCACCTTTAAGACTGCAGTCCAGCACCGGTCTGGGGAACATGTACGTGTGGCACATTGACGTAGCATCCATTTTGGGTCGTCTGGTTGGTTTGGGCCTCCCCCCTCCTGCCTGCCCACCTTCTCCACCTCCACCTGGCTTTTTATCCACACACAGCGTATCCACATCGATTTTCTTCAACTTCATCCCTTTCAGTGACATCGGTTCGGCACATTTGGCGTAGTTGCCGAGGTTGCGGTTGCTAGGCACCTGTATGGTCCTGATGAGACTGTCCAGAGAGCATTGACAGTGCCAGGGGTTGTCGTAGATACGGAGGTAGGTGAGGCGGGGCAGGGGTAGTAGGACTTCCTCTGAGGCTGTTGTGAGGCTGTTGTGTTGGAGTAGCAGAGTGGTGAGCTGGGACAGGCCGCTGAATGCTCGTTCTTCCACCAATGAGATCATGTTCTGCTGTAGGTCCAGACTCTTCAACTGCGTGAACTGGGAGAACATGTTGTCTCGCAAAACCTACAGAGAGAAAAACACACTAGGGTAAAATATAAGATAGAGATGCTCAAAGACATATTTTTAATTAGATGCAGCCAGACTTATTCTGACCCCAAGAGCTGCTTATACAATATACGTATCTCTAGTGGGGTAAGATACATTTTAAATACATGAGAAAAAATCTAAAATGCCAAGAGAAAATTACTGTTGAATGTTATGAATGACTCCTACATTATATTATTACTCATCTAATATATAGCACATGGCTTTTAAAACATGATATTTTTTTTTTTTTTACACCATATGTGGCAGTAGACCTTCCAGGGGAAATACTTCGAGACCTTGCAGAGGAAACACTTTAAGGAAATTAACCATTTAATCACCAAACAAAACACTAGAGCAGAGTAAGAGTGGGGCCTTTTCTGATGTGCTCAGCTCACTCTCCTGGACACTACTGTGATGTTGCAATCAGTGTGTCCCGCCCTAACAAGCTCATATACACATAGTTGTTGTTTCATACTAAACCTCAGTCTCTAGCAACAATAAAGTAGACTGAATATAATGTCACTGCAGTTGAATTTAATGAAGGTCCATATACTGCCTCTACAGACTCACTTTGACATCATTAATGCTGTTGGAGCTTCACATAAGTTTATTTTCCAGGAAACCCTACACTCACCACTACTATCTTTATTATCCAGCAGCCAAGGATTGTTCATCTCTTTCAGCACCTGAGACACGCACATGCACAGGATTTCTCATATAGACATTTACACAAGTATACACCACACACACACACAAACACACACACACACAGAAAACACACACAGACGCACGAGGAGCAGTGTCTTTGATGTGAGCCTCATGTAAATGGTGCACAGATGTTTATGGATCAACAATACTGAGACTATCCATTGCCATTGGCCTCAGATTTAAACTCTAATAAGATAAACATATTTGTCAAACCCACGTGGATGGTTACGTAACATTTAGATCATCACACTCTTGTTTTCATTCTTTTGATTATTGAGTTTTACATAAAACGTATGATAATCATTGAGATTATCTGGACATGTAATTGGTGTCAGTCATGAATTTTTTATCATAATCTCATGAAATTAAGTTCAAACTCTGTTCATAAATTTTTTTCCAGTATTATTTTAGAGACACAATTTCTTATGTAACTTCAGTGATTTCCTAAACACACACATCACATCACTAGAATCTTGGGTGTTCACAAGCATGAAACTAAACCAGGACTGGACCAGAGCTAAACCATAGCTATAACAGGACTAAACCAAGTTTAGATCAGAATTAAACTGGGCTTAAATGAGGATCAAACAATGTGTTAATTTTAAGTAATTTACTGCCAAAGTGCTGGCTGATATCAGTTAATCATTGCTTTCCCACCTGTAAAAGATCTGAGTACCGCAGACATTAGCCTGTAGATCATTTGTCATTTTCAGCACAAACCTGGATCTTGTTGCGTGCCAGCAGCAGGTGGTGTATGTCCGTTGGCCAGTCCTGCATGACGGTGGTGAGCTGACGGTCCTGACAGTCCAGGTACTTCTCTCCGGCTTCCTCGTATTCTTTACACTGTGGAGTCTGGCGTCTGTTCACTGCAGCTCTGCCTCTGCCCCGCACCCTGCCCCCCGCCCCCCCCTCACCTGCCCGCACCCGCCGCCCTGCCCCCTCACCAGCCCCTGAGTGCCTGCGGACCTCCACTGACCGCAGCACTAGGAGCAGCAGGAGGACCTGAAGCACACGCATGGTGCAGCAGAGGATTCTGGGAAAGCAAACCAGGAGAGGAGAAGTGAGTAACCAACGCTTCGATAACTACAAATTACACTTAGAGGTGCACCCTGCAACTTGTTAACACCTACCTGTCTCCATGGAGATTAGTTTCTTTCTATAGAATGTCTCACATTATGGCATTAATTGTGGGGCAGCACACCTGACTGCAATTTGAGTATCTCCTGATATAGCATGTACATTTCTGACACTTCTAGACCAAATGTGTCCTGTATATTTTGCATATGTTTTTTTTATCATGATACCTGTTGTATTTAACATTCTTGTTGTATTTAACATTCTGAATCAATAATAGTAAATTATTCAAAAAACCTAATGCGCACATCACTTGAGTAAAAGAATAGTAGCCAGTTCCTATGAGGCTGTTTGTCATTTATTGAGAATTAGGCCAGTTTCGCATTTGACAATGTGCAATAATTTCTTTGGAGAACATATCTAATCTGATGATCAAAGCATTTTATTTAGACTAATAGTATTTTATTAGAACCCAGTGGATCAACTGTTCCCTTTGAGGTCTGAACCTGTGTCCTATTTTTCCAGCGGCATATTCTCACCCACCCCATCATTCCTACTATAGTTTAACTCTATATTCATTCTGTTAAATTGTTTTGATTGTGCATTTTTTTGCATACTTAACTTACCTCTGGTCCTCAGGTCAACCTTCGCTGTCAGACTATGAGTGCCGGGCGCTGCGGGCAGGTCACAGCTGTGGACAAGAGAGAAAAAGCTTTAGTTTATAGGTTGTGAGTGTCCGCTTCATGTCCAAGCCTGTGTTGACGACAGAGGAAACAGCTCCGCACATGCTCTGAGGATTAGAGGCCGGAGAGAGTGGAGAGGAAACAGGGAAAAGGTGTTTGTGAGTAAGTGAAGACAGTTGTAATGTGTGAACATGCTTTTACACAAAGTTTAAATGTGGTCACAGTTAAGTGCGGTCTTCACTAAAAAGTTTTCAACCTCAACTAGTTCTAATTCTTTTTCCAAGTCTTAATTATTCCAATATTATTCCAACACTGTGGTCCACATAATAACAAAAACTCATTCAAACCAACTAAATGTAGTTCAAAATGTAGTTAAAGGTGCACTATCTTAATTTTTCTGTTACAGGTTCTCTGTTTGTGTACATGGTTTGCTTGATAGTATGGCATTAAACTAGGTTCATGGAGATAAGTAGGTAGTACCAACAGGCTATTTAAAAGTCAGATCTGTGTAGAGGCGAGCCCGCTCTCAGCAAGAATGCATGTAAAAAACAAAACATGTAAGATGGAAATGCTTAATGCCGTACTGTGAAACAGTAAGGCAAAGCACTATCAGTGTTTCCTGCAGCACTTTATAGTTAAGGGGGCTGTCTTGACAAGAAGTGGCCCCCTACAGTCGTCGCACGGAATCTCCGCACCCCTCACAGCGCACCTTTCACTACCACCTCAAGTATTTTAACGCATGATTTGGGATAGTTTTTTCATGTTTTACCCCCTCTAGTGGTAATAATTAGGCTGAGGAAAGATGTCTGCCGGCCGACTTTAAGATGACAAGATGATTTACATTTCTTCTCAGGATCCGCCAACAGTCTGTAAGTAGACTCAAAACCGCAGTGTTCAAAGCCAAAGATTGTGTCATTCGTCTTAAAGAGGTGCTGTGTCCGATAAACAGTGTGACACCGCTGTAGTCTGTCTCCTCTGTCAACAACGCAATGTTCAGCGAGACACACACAGAAAGTATTGAAACACAATGTACTCAGATGTCTAGTTTGGATAGGTACCAAAAAACATTAGTTACGTTACAGTAATGAATGCTGTTCAAGTGTAGAATTCCTTTTGGGGTCTTTTATAGATCCCAATTCAAGGAAAAAAAGAAACCACAAGCTTTTGCCAATGCTTACACAAATACAATAAACTTCTACATACTCAGGGCAAAATTACCTGCTACAATAACATAACAAGCTTGGTTGCAACTTGCACATAAGCAAAAGTATCAGGTAAAACAATAGCATTTCTGATTTGAATTCAAACCATTGTCAGTAGAACTCATTTAACGTATATTGTGTAACCAAGTGTACGTAACGCCGCACCAAAGTAGACAATGTGAATGAATTTGGCATCTGCTCTGTCTGTCTGTATTTTATGACAAAATAAATGAGTCATGGGTCTGTGCCGAGAGCGAAGGGAGAAAAGGTCTTCGGGTCTGCCAAGAAACACCACGTATACACACAGATGGGTTCATGCGTCTTGTGAGGACATTACATACAGTTACAATAAAGTTCCTTTGCTTTTCTGAAGCTGAAACTTAACTTACTGTTCTATCCTTAACCCTTCCAACTTTTAAAATGTGAGGTTGTAAACTTGTTGTCAATTCTAATGACTAATGAATACATGTTTTTTTATATAAGTTTTTCTCCTATATTTGATCCATCTCCTATATTTGCTCCATCTATCCCTGCATGCTATGCAACAGTGCACGACCAATCTTTCTGAATGTCGACACAGTACACTGGTCAGTTTGAAGATTCTCATATTCTCCATGTTTTTAGGTTGATGATGAAACCAGAAACCAAAACAACATACAAGGGTCCATATAAGACTTAGTAAACCTGTACACACACACATGTCTGTGTGATCGCTCAGTGGTCGTCTTTCTCTTGTACACACATGTGTATATGTTGCGTGCTTTCTTGAGACATTATATTGACTTACATTTCCTGTAGACTGAACCTAACCATGACCCTAATTACTACTGGGATAATCTTAAAGGGACAGTCCAGAATTTTGGACATAGGACCTAATTTCCTAGTTAGCCAGAGTGTTGGAGACGTGTGGAGACACTTTTTAAAATATTCCATCCAGTTCTTGTATTTGGACAGGTTGCTAGTGCTAGGCTAGCACATGTCATTGGCCATAGTTAGCCTGCCACTAAAAACACCACTCCACAAAGCACCCGAAGCAAATTTATTATTACACCAGACTGTCTGTGTTGAGAGAATAATGTTTGAAATAATCTGAACTTGAATAATTTGAATTTGAATTTTACTTTGCCAGTAAGACAGGTGCTAGATGATATCAGTCCGCCGCTGCCAAGCTTTCTATCAGGAAGTACAACTCACTGTTGCTGCTCAGACATCGTTCAAATGCAAGGTTGTTTTTACTTCTAAAATTATTCTATTAACACAGACATTCACATTGACATTAATAATAGATTTGCCTCGGGTGCACTGTGAAGTTGGTAAGACTAGCCTAGCACTAGCAACCTGTCCAAATAATGACTGGATGGAATATTTTAAAAAGTGTCTTCACACGTCTAGAACACTCTGGCTAACTAGGAATTGAGGTTCTATGTCCAAAACTCCTGAATGTCCCTTTAACGTAAACCTTAACAAGAACCAAATGAACCAAAGCCTTAACTTTACGTAAGTGATAAAATATTGCAGCAGTTTTGGTCTCCAGGAAGCTGAAAGTCCCCATGGAGAGACTAGGTACAGAACAGTCCCCACAGTGTCATAAATACCAGCCCACACACGCGCGCCTAGTCCAACCGTACCAAACCGCAGCCTCCCAGTGTCTCTCCCACAGTGGAACAAGCCTGTCAAATGCAGATGTTGCCATTCCATTGTGCATATATAACACTGAGGGCATGTTAGACTTGCATACAGACAGACACAGCTGGGAACCCATCAGCCGGGGGAGGGAGGTATTTTCCAGTCCATTGAGAGCTGTCCAACTGTACTGCTATCAATCGTATCAAATAAAAGAGCCATTTATCCCACTGCAGTTGTTCCGTCCAATATCACACAACTAGTGAAATATAAGTTGACCTAATGCATCTTAATGATCTTTAAAGTCTGAGTTCTGATATTAATTTTAAAACCTGGGCTACTATTAAGGAGCTCTATGTAACTTTTCTTTTGTTAGTGCTTTGCTTGGAATGTTCTACACCACAACATTTATTCAAATATACCATAACTGTTTTCATTTGTCAATAAATACCTTTAAAAACATGCATCTTTATTATAAGCAAAGTTGCCTCTCCATAAATATGGACTGTAACTTATGGAATCCCCTGCTTTTCTAAGAAGGTAGATGTGTTTAAAAGTCCTGTATTACGCACAGTTGATTCTTTTGAGTTTTTTCTCAAAAACATACCTGGAGTTGTGCTTTGTTTCAATTACACGTTTGAGTAATCCTGCATTATTAGTCTGTCTACATCTCCAAAGCTCAAAATGCTCCGTTCCACCCTGTTAAGTGTAGTGGTAGTTATGGAAGTACAGATGTGTCAGAAGTTCTTAATTAGAATATTTCATGATGAATGAAATAACTTGAATAAAAAATAGTTGAAATGGAAATAATTGAAAAAAAAAAAAAAAGGCATTAACATGTGATAGGTGGGTAGGATTTTACATTACTTTTCAGCATTTTTAATTCAGGCTGACAAAATTCAAGTTGAGAAATTCAAGTTGAGAAGTTCAGGTCAAAAACATTCAGGTCAAAAACATTCAGGTCATAGTTCACCGCACATTCTGTTATTATGGGAAATTGCTAACACCAGGCTCAGAGAGGCCAAAAAGCAGAAGACATTCAACATTCTTGCACACCATGAACAACCAAAAGGTAAGTATTTTTTTAAATGACTGTGTTATTTATGACCAGGATTGAGCCCGGTTTAGTACTGGTTCAGTCCCGGTTTAGACCAGGTTTAGACCTGTTTTAGTCCTGGGACCAGTCCGTATGTGGCGCAAAAGTCCAGCATCGCAGTTTAAGTCACGGAAACAGGCTCCAAAAAGCCAAAACATTAACACTGATCTCTAGGCAATATTCTTTCTGTTAGACTGAACTGGCTTAGCTATACCCAACATTGCTAAAGATACCTATTTTCATAACTGAGGTAGCCTAACAAAAAATTTGCTATGCTATGAAAACATAAACCCGTAAACCATAAGTAACACTGTCATTTTAGAAAATACTTTTCGCTTG